TCCATCCATCCATCCATCCATCCATCCATCCATCCATCCATCCATCCATCCATCCATCCATCCATCCATCCATCCATCCATCCATCCATCCATCCCTCTTCTGCTGGTGAGTCTCACCTCATCCCCAGGGGTCCCCACACTTTCCCCAAAATCTGGCTGAGCTGCTGAGCTTTCACCTCTGCCACCACTGAGTCATGAAAACAGGACCCTCCTGTGTGAGCTGCACAGTCCAGTGGGCATGGGGGAGTTTTGGGGGACAATTTTGCCTGCCCTTCCAGTCTTAACCAACTGTCTCCAGCATCTCTGTCACTCTCCTGCCCTTCCCTGCCCTGTTTCCATCTCAGTGTGTTTTATTTGCTGTTTGGCAGGAGGCAGCCAGCAAAACCGGGGCGGAAAAAACAACGGAGAAGGCAGCATGTGAAAAAGGACCGAAAACTCCTGGTGCTGAAGGTGAAGAGGCTGAAGGACATGTATGATGGAGGAGGAGGGGATGGGGTAGCCTCGTGCCCTCGGCCCACACAGAGAAAGGTTGCTGCCAAACCTTGGGACTTGCCAGTGTTTTCTTGTAAAGCTTGTTACAGTTTGTGTGATCGTGGAAGCAAAAAGCACCTCGTGAGGAAAAGCAAACCCTGTCCCACTGCCCTGGGTGCACTGGGGGCAGAGCAGGAGCGGCAGGACACCATGGGACCACCGCACGTGGAACAAACAGCAATTTAAACAGCAAGGAAAAGAAAAAAAAATTATAATAATAAATTAAAACTCTTGGCTCTTGGGAGGTTTCCATAGACAGCTTGTTCTAGCTCCCTTGGCTTTGTGTCCACTGTCAGCACAGCATCCTCTCTGATGTGGGACAGGCTCCTTGTGCACTGCTGTGGTACCTCTGGCTGTCCCCAGCACAGCCCTGGGCAGCAGGAATTGGCCAAAGGGGCTCGGGGTGAGGACCCACATCACCCCTGCTGCAGCCCTGGGGTGCAGGGACATCGTTAGTGTTTGAGACAATTTGGGGAGGGGGCACACACGGATTTTACCTTCTGAATAAGCTGGTTCCTGTTTCTTTGGAGAGCAAAAACCTGTCCAGCTTTGCGGGAGCTCAACCCATCCCATGGCTCCCGGCTTTAAAGGGGAGTTTTTATTGCTTATTTGGGATCTGTGTGTGGGGAAAATAAAGAGCAGGTTGAGGAGAGGTTCAGAAAGTGGCTGGGTCTGAGCTGGTGCCGTGGGTTTGTCACTGAGCAGCTTTCCCATGGTGAGGGGGTCCCGGGTGCATCCCGGAGCTGCTGCTGCCTCCTCAACCCCCTCCATCCTAAAGGGGGACACCGTCACCACCCCCTGAGAACAGCTTTCCAGTTGTTATTTTTCCTGTCTCTACAATAATACCCCTTTTGGAACTTGAAAATAAACAACTGAAAGAAAAAGAAAAAAAAAAATAAAAATAAAGTACTCTTTCTCTGGATCCTGCTCAGCAAATGGGGCGGCTGTGGGGTGGATGGGTGGGCATTTCTTGGGGGGAGATGCCCCAGCAGTTGAAGGAATTTTGGTGTCTCCAAGGACTGATTTTAATCTAATTTTAATCAGTGCCATGGTTCTTTGGAGAGCCAGTGAAGGGCCAGCAGTCCATGCTTTGGAAATGCCTTGCCTGGGGGATGAACTTTGGGGGTCTCAGCTGTTTTTTCATGCTGGGAGATTGATCATTATGCTTTTTTTTTATCCACCCCAGTGTGATCTTTTGGGAGGGGGCTTCCTGAGGGTCAGCTGGGTGGGTGGAGATGGCATTTGTGCCATCTGAGGGTGTTGAGGCTGAGCCAGTGGGGATGTTAAGACTGCACATCTCTCTTTTATCCCACCCCCCTCAAATCTTGGGAGACTAAGCCAGATTTGGTTAAAAATTCTCTCTGTCCCATCTGGGGGTACCTGAAACAGCATTTCTCAAATCCATCTGTTTTCCCACCTGCATCCATGTGGCTGCCCCAGCTGCTCATCCAGGATTTGAGTTTTGTGCCACCATGGGATGCACCTCCCTGGAGGCTGCTCTGAGACCCAGGGTCTCTGCAAAATATGGGCTTTTTACTTTTTTCTCGCAGCAGAAAAGTCCTTTGGGGGCAGCCCAAGCCACATTTTCCGTAGGAAACAATCTCTACAGGGAAAAAAAAAAAAGAAATCAACTTGTTTTGCAGTTTCTGGGCTTGCTCCCCGTTTTTAAGCAGATTTTTGGTTTATTTTGGCTGGGTGCTTTTCTCTCTCTTGGAAGAGAAATTGAACTTGTGCTGGTGGTGAGGTTTAGGGATGAAAGGGAGACCAGGAATGTTTTGTAGGAAGGTATCAGGAGTTCCCGGTGCTGGTGGGTCTCAGTGTGCAGTGCTCAAATGCCATCTAGTGGCACCGAGCACGGGTTTGGGGGGGACCGTGGTGGGCTGGGCAAGGCCAAGGGGGCAGTGGGGACAGTGGGGACACTTGGCTGGTCTGGCTTTGCAACCCAACAGCATCCAGGGGGCCTTTGAGGAGGAATTTTAAGGGTTAAACGGTGTAATAACGAGGAGGGGCATGGGGGAGGTTGTGAAACCCCTCACCCAAAGAGTCCTGGGGGTGTGGGGCAGTGGTCAGAGCAGGGCAGAGGGCAGTGCAGAGACCTTGGCACTGCCCGGAGTTGTGATGTTGCCTTCCCCTGTGTGGGCTTTCCGTGCACAGCTCTCACAAAACAGCCCAGATCCTGCTCTTCTCTCACCAAGAAAACATTTTTTGGGTGAAAACCAGAGATTCCCGAGGAGGATAAAGCTAAACACGGACAGAGAGCAGTTCCTCTGGAATGAGTGGCTCTGCTATGCTGGGGACCCCACCCAGTGAGGGGGGAATCTGTGCCCCCCAAAAAGCATCGGGGTCTGACTGACCCCCCTCATTCCCGCAGAGCCCCCTTTCCCTGCGATTACTCCCCTGCCAGCTGCTCTCCCGGCAAGCCTGGCTGCCAGCGCCTGCAATCCTATTAACCGAGTTTCAGGAGAAATAAAGTTAATCGCCTCCTCCACCTGCTCTTCCTCCTTTCCCTTCTCCTCCTCCCACCGCTCAGATTTGCGGAGGCGGCCGAGCCGATGCTGTGAGGCTGCTCTGGCTTTTGGGGCTGAGCCTGACCCTATGGCCCTGGTGCTGGGCTGGTAGGGGCTGCGGGACCGGGACGGGACCGGGATTGGGATCGGGACTGGGATTAGGGCCGGGATCGGGATCGGGACCGGGGAGGGAGGCAGAGCAGCACCGGGAGTCCGGGACAGTGCCAACAGCGATGCCACTGCAAACGGAGATCCTGAGAGAAGTCTGGGCTGCTGACAGGTGAGTGTTGGTGGGCAGGGTGGGATCAGTGGGGTGGGTGATGGGCTGGACACCCTCAAAGCATCCCCTGCTCCTCCAGCGCCTTTTTCGCCTGTTTTTAATTTAAATGTAATTTAATGAGCAGTTTTATCGTAGGGTTTTTGTGTCGGGGGTTGGTGCGGTGATGTTTATGGATTTACAGAGAGGGGAAGTGTTTGTTAGAGGGGGATCCCCAAATCCCTGTCACCCTCGGCCGAGGCAGAGCCTGGCCTGTGCTCCCTGTCAGGAAGGGTGATATCAGACAGGCTGGACCTGGCTGAGATGGGGAAATCCTCCTGGAACCAAACGAAAGACGGACCTTTCCTCCTCTACCAAAATCTGGGGCAATCTCAAGCCCCCAGGATATGAGGAGTGCACAAAGCTCTCACCCTTTTGCCTTCTGTGCTCCACAGCCCCAGTGAGGAGCCGGAGAGCCCCCAGCACAAGCCCAAACAGGTGAGAAAAACACCTTCCCCTCCATCCCGTGTGCCACCATTCCCTGCTGTCCCTGAGGGTTTGGGACCTCAGAGACCCTCAAACCCCAGAGCCCCACATAAGGCCAACTTGGGGCTGCTCTGTTGGGGTGCTGCAGCCTGAAGGGATGTGAGTTTTTTTTGGGAACCCCCTCCAGAGCAGGTGGGTAGAGAAAATTCCACAGCCCTCCCTTCTTTGTGCCTCCTTCTGAACCCCCCCTCCATCGCTTCAGAGCATCCTGAGGGGAGGGTTCCCAGCTCTTAAATAACACTTTAATTAAGCCCCTCAGTTAAGCTGTAAACTGTGACTCACTTTCCCCAGGCCATGACCCTGAAGCCAGAACCCCCCTCCCTCATTTCAGAACATCCCCCAGCTGCCCCCCAGCCTTGGGGAGGGTCTCAGCAGCAATTTCATCCACCACCAAATTTAATTTTTAATCATCAGCCCCTCCTTGAAGGGCTTTGTTAAGCAAGGGAGTGGTTGCCCACCCCACAGCTTCTTAAAGGATTAGGGGGTGCAAAGGAGCTTTTCCGTGTGAGCTCATGACACGGAAGAAAACAGCCAGTTCTCAGCTTCACCACGGAGCTCCCCCTCCCCAAATTCAGAGCTCTGGGACCCCACTGTGATCCATTAGGATCCCACATTTTGTGAAATGCCTTCACCCATCACCCTGGAGCACCCAGGAGGAGCGAAATCCCTGTGATGGGGAAGATGCTCCATCGGGCAGCGGAAGCTCTGGCGCACCTGGATTTGCTGAGATCACTTTCTGAGAGCCCTGAGCTGACACCCACTCCCCAAATACCTCCTGTCCAGAGCCAAATGCTGACCCACATGCTCTGTATTTGGTAAATCTGAGTTATTTATGGCCCCAGCTAACCGGGATTAGGTGTGCTGTGCCTAATCCTCCTGCTTCCCTGCTCCTGCTGACCTCCTTGCCATTGACAGCAGCTTTTTGCGGGGGTGAGAGGAGATGAGAGGAGGTGAGAGGCCAGGCTGTCTGCACGTCCCTGTGTCGTGCCTTGCCCCAGAGTGGCCATCAGAAGCCAGAGTGGCTCCCAGCCAGGGTCGCTGTGGCACAGTGTCACTCGTTCCTGTGTGGTGACACTGTCCACGGAGTCACAGCAGCACCAACATCACATCCCTCATCTCTGGGGCTGTCCCAGGGTGGGTGTTGTGTCTCTCTGCTAACAGCCCTTTCTGTTTTCCTCCCTCTGCTTTCCTCGGGGGGCTGTCCCATGGTAAGTCACTCGTTGGAAGGTGGGAGCGTGTCCCGGTTCCCGAGCGTGTCCCTTACTCCCGTGCTGGGCCAGGGAAAATCCCGGCTGTGTTTCCAAAAGGGAGCCAGGGGCTGCCTGGTAAAAGGAAAAGGTGTTTAAGGCTGGCTCCATCCCTGCAGCGCCTCCCATGAGGGCAGAAGCTGAAGAAGAAGAGGCAGGAGCCTGGGCTGGAGGGCGAGGCCAAGCCACGGCGGCCGCGGGTGAAGAAGCTGAGCGAGTCAGGGGCTGCAGAGGAGCCTCCTGCCCCAGGTCAGGGTGAGCAGAGCCCCCACAACCCCCGGGGAAATGGGGACAAGGACCGGTGTCCCCTTCATGGCCCCATCCTGCCCCTGAGGCGCTCTCCATCCCGGGCATCTCTTGAAATGCGCAGGGGTGAAGAAGGTGAGGAAGAAAAAGGAGGAGAAGGCGGGGGAGGAGAGCGACAAGGACCCCTACTCCAAATTCACCAAAGAGCCTCGGAAGAAGAAGGAGAGCCCGGCTCCCCGCTCCCAAGTGGCCAAGGGCCTCAAGAAGCCACAAGGTGCAGGGCAGCACCCCCCCTCTGCAGTGTCATGTCCCCTTTCGCCATGTCCCCATAGAGACACCGGTGCTCCCAGTGTCTGCTGGGGCTCTGCAGCCAAAGATTTTTGGCTAAAACCCAGCTACGGACCTGGCAGGAACGGGGATGTGGCAGGGGACCCGCGCTCATTGCCTCGGGTGGGGAGTTGGGTTGGAACGGGGACGCGGGGGTGACACACTCGCCGGGACGGTGACAGACGGGTCTCCGGACACTTTTTCCGGAGCGAAAAAAAAGCGAAAAGCGGCTCGGTCCCGTCCCCCGCACGGACGCGAGAGAGCGCTGTGGCTGCGCTGTGGCTGGACACGTCCCAGGCCCGCCGGACAGCGCGGTGTCCACCCCGGGGTGACCGCACCAGCGAGGGTCCCTCCCCGCACACCACCGGACTGGGGTGCCTCGCTGCCAAAGAACTGCGTTGGCTGATGCCGTGGTGACCTCTGGGCAGAGCCGGCGGAGGATGAAGAAGATGAGGAAGAGGAAGAGGAGGTGGAGAATAAAAACCCGCCAAAAAAGCTCAAGAAGAAGCTTCCCAAAGAGCCACTGTCAGGAGGGGCGGAGAAGAAGCTGAAGTCGAAGGGTGAGTGCCGGGGGACAGAGACAGCAGAAGCTCAACGGTGTTGTCACTTGCATATGTCCCTGCTGAGACGGGGGAAATGCCCGCGTCCCATCCCTGTCACAGCCTCAGGAGGCTGTGGAGAAATCGCTTCCTCCCCACTCAATCTCCCCCCAGCTCAGCCCTTCCCGCTGCTCCACCCCTGTCACCCGCTTGTCCCCAGCATTGCCCGTTCTCATGCCCTGGCTGGCTGGTCATCAGCTCCTTTGTCCCAGCAGATGACAAGAGTGACCCTGACAGCAAAACCAAATCCGCCAAAAGCACCAAAAAGGAGCCACTGTCCGTGTTCCAGGTGAAGAAGGAGAAGAAAAGCAAGAAGAAAGGTATGGGAGGAGCAGGAGGGGGTGGCAGCCAGTCCTGCTGCCTGGTGGCAGCACCCAGAGTTGTGTGACCATGTCCCCCATGTCCCTCACAGCTGTCACCAGCAGTGATGAGGAGGACGATTCCGACTCGAGCACCAAACCCATCAGGTCAGAGAAGAAGAAAAACCCAGCGTCCCTCTTCCAGACTGGTGGGGATCCCCCAAAGGAGAAAAAATCCAAAAAGAAAGGTGAGAGCCCAGCACTGGAGGGTGGTGGGTTCTGGAGGGGCTTCTGGGAGTACAGGTGAGCTTGGCCATGGAGAGGGGGGTTGCAATCAGTGATGCTGAGCTGGATTTTGGGGCTCAGTGGAATCAGGATCTCCTCCCTCCTGTACCACTCCCTATTCCTGCCCACAGTTCCTCCCAAAGGGGCTGAGAGCGAGGAGGAGACCCCGGAGACACAGCAGAAAAACTCCAACAAGAAGGGGAAAGCAAAGAAATCAAAGAAGGTACAAAAGACCCCTCAGAGCCAGGAGGGTCCCCTCGGGCTGGGAAAAGAGCAGCTCTTCTCCCCAGGGTGGGTCAGGAGGTTTGCAGCATCCCCCCCAGTGAGACCCACCAGGGTGCTGTCCCCAAAGCCACCCAGGACAGAGCCACAGCCCAGAGGGGATGGATCACAAGGAGCAATTAGGGAAGGAAGGGGGGCTTTGGGGTTACCATCCTCTCTCATCTGCAGCAGAAGGAGGAGAGGCCCCCATCCCCTGTCATCGAGGTGGAAAACCTGGAGGAGTTTGTGCTGCAGCCGGCGCCGCAGGGAGTGACCGTCAAATGCCGGGTGACACGGGACAAGAAGGGCATGGACCGGGGCCTTTACCCCACCTACTACGTTCACCTGGATAATGACAAGAAGGTGATTTGGGGTGGGGGCACGTAGACCCCTGGGGTTCTGCAGCCATTCAGGATTTGGAGGGGATGCTCACCTGTATCACCCCATGCTGGTGCATCCTGGATGAGGCTGCTCCCCTCTCCTGCAATTCCTGCTGGAAAATGCCCCGTGTGGATGGTACCTGGGTTGATGAGTTAATATTGGATAGAGCCACACCAAAGCTGGGCTGGATTCAGCCCTTCCCACCCCATGGCACAGCTCCTTCCCTCTCCTGCAATCCGTCCCACAAATGCCCTGTGTGGATGGTACCTGGGATGATGAGCTAACCCTGGATAGAGAGCCACACCAAAACTGGGCTGGACTCAGCCCTTCCCACCCATGGCACAGCCCCTGTTTTGGGGATCATCTCCACTCCATGACTCACCCAAGGTCATGGCAGTGACCCATTAGGGGACAAGCTGGAGACAGCAGTGGCAATGGCGGTGACAATGCTCCATTCTCACACGGTCCCACTGCTCCACCAGGTGTTCCTCCTGGCTGGGAGGAAGCGTAAGAAGAGCAAAACCTCCAACTACCTCATCTCCATCGACCCCACCGACCTGTCACGGGGTGGAGAGAACTTCATYGGGAAGCTGAGGTAGGAGCAGAGGTGGCACCCCATTTTGCTGGCACCCCATTTGCAGCACCCTCCTGCCACCCCATGGGTTACAGGCTGTCCCAAACCATGGCTGGGGCAGACAGGAGGCTCAATTCATTATTTCCCACTGCTGTGTCTGACCTGAGGAGTGGTGGGGGGCTGAGAGGGGAAAACAAGCCGGGCCGGTTCCTCTCAGCAGACAGGTCACAGCTCGAAAAGACGCTTGGCAAGTCCCAGCCCGCACTGCCAGCAGCCACACAGCCATGCTGGGGGTCCCTGTGGTGGCAGCACCCTATAACACCCCGATTTAGGGCTGCCTTGAACGTGAGCAAACAGCTGAAGGGTAGGAAGAACAGAATTGGTGGGGATTTGCAGCCAAACCAAACCAAAGAGCGGAGTCACAGGGGGGTCAGAGGGGATTTGGTGGCATCAACCACAGCCATCTCCCACGCTTGGCCGCAGATCCAACCTGATGGGTACGAGGTTCACCGTGTTCGACAACGGCGTCAACCCCGACAGGGCCAACCCCGACTGGTCCAACGTGCGCCAGGAGCTCTCGGCCGTGGTCTACGTAAGGACAGCCCCAAGGGAGCCCCTGCCCAGCCCCCCGGGCAGGCACACAGGGGGTCCCACCCTGCACCCCTCCACAGAGCTTTGGGATGGGCTGGAGCCGTGCCAGAGCCTTCATTCAGCCCCGGGTGGGTGCCGGATTTAGAGATGGGCTTTCTCTTGTAGGAGACCAACGTTTTAGGGTTCAAAGGGCCCCGGAAGATGACTGTCATCATCCCTGGGATGAACGCTGACTGTGAGAGGGTGCCCATCCGGCCTCGAAATGTAAGTCAGGGCCCAGACTGGGAGAAAATCCTTGGGAGCTGTGTTTGCTGGGGGCCACCTTGGATTTTACCCATCTTGGGATGTGGAGAGGATTTCAGGTGTCCCTGAAATTCAAGGCACCCCTGGGAGGTGGGAGACATGGTGCCTGTTTTTTCTCCATGAGAGATCCCATTTCCAGCTGGTCCTGCTACAGGGCATCCCCCAGACAAGCCACAGGAAGGGGCAGGGCTGTGGAGGGGTCACCCCAACTCTGCCCTCCCCCTTCTCACCCCTCCCCAGGACAATGATGGCCTCCTGATGCGATGGCAGAACAGGAACATGGAAAACGTGATCGAGCTGCACAACAAGGCCCCGGTGTGGAACGACGAGACCCAATCCTACGTTCTCAATTTCCACGGCCGGGTCACCCACGCTTCTGTCAAAAATTTCCAGATCGTGCACAGCAGCGACCGTAAGCTGGGGGGATGGGATGGGATGGGATGGGATGGGACAGGGGATAGGGTGTGGGGCACTGCCTCATAACTGGCCTCAGCACCTAGTTTTTTTGCTGAGATTTTGGGGTTTTTGTGCTTTGGGGTGCTGGCTGCCCTTGCTGGAGCTGGGGTGAAGATGGACAGGGAGTGTGGCACCACGCTGGAGCTGCCCTTAGTCCCTGGCCCTGGCATGGGCAGCGTGTAGGGCTCCTGCTGCCAGGCAGATTTAGGGCAAGGACAGATCCCATGGGGTGTGAGCCCCCCATTAATCACAGCAGAGCCACCCCAGAGCGTTATCCCCGCTGGGGCTCACTATGGGGTGCGCTGTGCCTCGGGGACAGTCCCTTGGGGGTGGCAGCCGCTCGGTCTGGATGCGGCCGCTCGTCACCTGTCCGSCGCAGTCAGGAGCCCTTGGCCTCCGGGGTGTTGGGTTACGGGACAGAAAAAGCCTCTTGAGGGCCCCTGGTTATTTTTACAGATTTCCTGTCACCCGCCCTCGGGCAGCAGCGGTCCCACRGTCCGGGGGGGTGGGGTGAGTGGGGTCCCTGTCCCTTTGGGGACGTGGCACCCAGGGAGGGGTGTGCTGGAGGGACCAGAGGGTGCCATGATCCGTGCAATGGGAAGATGATGCTTTTTGGTGCGTGGCTGGGGCAGGAGTCACAGGCAGAGTTTGGGTGGGGGCGCGTGGGCGGCTTCTCTCGGCTGCTGCTGCTGCTGCGTGGGCTGGCTGGGGACAGGCTGGGTGCCCAGGTGACATGGCAGCTGCTCGCCCTCCCTCCCACAGCCGACTACATCGTGATGCAGTTCGGGCGGGTGGCGGACGACGCCTTCACCATGGACTACAACTACCCGCTGTGCGCCGTGCAGGCCTTCGCCATCGCTCTCTCCAGCTTCGACGGCAAGCTGGCCTGCGAGTAACCCCTGCACCAGGACTGCTGCTGGGGCCACCAGGACTGCTGCTGGGGCCACCAGGACTGTTGCTGGGGCCACCAGACCCCGCTGCTGGGGCCACCAGGGCTGCCCAGCAGTGCCCGGAGGATGCTCCAGCGTCCCTGCCCTGCTCCGCTCCCTGCATCTCCACCTTCTTGCGGTCACAATTGTTCCTGTGGTGGTTCAAGGAGCTCACTGAACGCTGTGGGATGCCCACCCAGCTGCTGCCACCCTCTCCAGGGCAAWTCAGGACAGAACGCTGGTGTGGGGTGATGGCAGAGTCAGGTTTTGGGGATATTCAGCAGATGAGGCTGACTGTGATCCCTATCTCATCCCTCTGAGATATCTCTTGGACTCAGATCCTGTAAACTCCTCCCCCACACACCTTTTTTTTTTTGGTTTTTAGACTCTAGTTTGTATTTTTATGCCCAGTCTCGCAGTGAGAAGGGTGTAGTTGGTCTCCTCACTCCATATTCCTCACCCACATGCATGTGAGACTCTGTCTAAGCTCCCAGCTGAAGATCCCCATCCCAGCTTGTTGCTCACCAGGCACAAAGCCCCTCTTTTGCCCCATTTTGTCCTGGTGTGAGCGAATGGCCAGTGCCCGTGGTGTCACTGGGTCTCACCCCAGTGCCCAGAGAACACCGGGGATTTGGGTTCCTGGCACCAGCAGCGCTCAGGCACGTGCCCAGGGGTGACAGTGCCAGCACAGGAGGGCTGGCAGGCACGTGAGGCAGAGCTGGCGTTGCTGGCACGGGGCCCAGCTGGGTCAGTGCTGCCAGGAGGGACCTGGAAGAGAAAACTCAGGGTGCACCAGGAAGCAATGAAGTGACTCACGAGGTGTGGCCGGTGCTGAGTCACGCTCAGCACCCAGACAGGCCCTGCCGAGCTCCCCGTGCCCTCAGCACCCGCTGCCCCTCTGCTCTGTGCCACCCTCCAGASCTCACCGGCCCTGGGTGTCCCCTCTGCTGCCTCACTGGTGCTCTCTGCTCACGGGAGGAGGTGGACAGAAGGTGACATCCCCTGTTTCAGACTGGTGGGGTGTCAGGGGAGCTGCAGGGAGTCACTGGGAACGGGAGATGCTCAAGAGAGGCAGCTCAGTGGGAGCAGGGCAGCTTATGCCCCCAGTTTCACCATTTATGGGGTGAAGATTTGGCTGCACAAACAGTCCCAAATCTGATCAATTCAGATTGATTCATGGGGAGCCCCAAAACACCGTCCTCAGCTCCCTGGTGCTGCTTCTCTCCYCTGCTCAGCTCGTGCACTGACCCCAGGACAATTTGGGATTCCCTTCCTGTGACACATATGGGTTGTTCCCCCATTCTGGGGGTGATCTGAGCCCCCCAGGTTAACACAGCTGAGAGGCAGCTGCAGCTGAGGAGCAGATGGATGGGGAGGATGTGATTGTGCAAGAGGGATGCTCATCCTCTCTGGGCAGTGTCTCAACATCACTGTGGCCTGAGCCTGTCTTTGCTTGGAGCTGGGGACAGATGACAGCGATGGGGGACCCCTGGTGAACATCTGCCCCGGTGGCTCCGCAGATGGGAGCAGAGTTTTCCCCATGTGTGAATCTGGGTGAATCTGGGCTCTGTGAATCTGGGCTCTGTGATTCATGGGAGATGCTCGTGGTGGGGCAGGCAGAGGTGGACAGCTTGGGGACAAGCCAGCCCGCGTGGGACATCATCCCTCACCCACGCAGCGAGATCAGAGAACATCTTGTGAGCTGAAGGGAGAACCAGCCACAGCAATTCGGGGCCGGCATCCCTGGCGAGGTATGGCCAGCAAATGTGGGGAAAGCAAGAKCTTTCTGCCCAAATCCAGCCACAAGCCCAACATCTGTTTGAAATCGGGATCAGCTTGGCTAAGGGTTGTGCTAATACTCGCCCCTAGTTCCTCCAGCGCAAGGAGAAAAGCAGCAGCAGGGTGAGAGAGAGGGGTTTGGGCTCTCCAGGTTCTGTCTGCTGCTCTTCCAGGTTGATTCTCCCTCCCCTCACCCAAAAACTTCCCATTTTGCCCATTGTTGCTTGCAAACCCCTCAGGTTGCCTGGCCTGCAGCCCAAGCAGAGCAAAACCCCCGCCATGGGTGTCCAGCGCAATGTCACCCAACCTCAGAGCAGCCAGAGCACCAAAAATCCTTCACACAAACCCTCTAACACAAACCAACTGCGGCAGAAGGAGCGAACGAAAACAATTTAATAGGGAGAGGGATATTCGGGGCCTTTGTTTGCGCTGGCTGTTAACACCAGAGGAGATGAGGGATGGAAGCAGCCGAAATGTGTATCTACTTTGGCCGGCGGAAAGTGTGACGGATGCGCCAGCAGACCAATGGCTGAGGGTGCCGGGGTGTGCGTGGGTGTGAAAGGAATGCTAGCTGCAAGAAAAGATTAAAAAAAAAAAAAAAGAAAAAAGAAGAAAGAGCCTTATCAATGGTGTTTGAGTCCAAAGTGTGTGTATTCCTTGGAGAAAGGGTTTCCTCRATCCCCAGGGATGGTGTTTTCCCTGCAGAGTGAGATTTTGAGGCTCCTGAAGGTTTGTTTTAGGGGGGCTGCTGCTGCAGGCATGGATTTAACCCCACAGAGTTCTCGTGCAGGGGCATGAGCATGGCCAGTGGCCAGAGGCGACTGTCATCAGCTCCTCAGGGGAACCTCCTGGGAAATGCGTTTTATTTTTGCAGAGATGCTTATAAGGCAAAGGGGAGGAAAAAAACGAGGCCCCACCTCGCTGCTGAGCAGCACATCCCTGACAAGACCAGTGTCACTGCAGGGCTTATGGCTCTCTCAGGCCATGCTCCATCCCTATCCCACCTTGAGGAGGGGAAAGATGCTGGTTTAGAGCTGAGCAGGAAGATGGACATGGGGCTCTTCTCCAACCATTTGCTTCTCCCTTTTCCCCATGGCCCTGGGGTCTGAGGGGCTCTAAACACCCAGTCCTGGGCACAGGTTCAGCCCCTGCTCTCTTGGTGGGGCTGGCAGATATTTCCATGGCTCCAGAAGGCAAATGCCCCATGGGGAGGGAAGGGCTGGTACATCCTGGTGGGTGCAGGAGGGGAGATCAGAGCTGGAGAAACTCCTTGTCCAGGAAGGGCTTGGTTCCCAGCAAGCTGCCCCCAGCCCTGGGGGAGCCCTCTCCAGGTTTGAAGCGCCAATACTTTAATTAATTAATGAAGTGATGTGATGAGGTGTTCCTCTCTTCCCTCCCTCTCCCCTCGCATTTATTCTGGTGACATTTTTAGAGGGAAAGGCAGACTCACTGGTGCTTAGCTCAGCTGTGGCTTTGCAGGATGGGCTCCTTCTCGGTACAGCAAGASACAGGCGACAATGGGAAAGCCAATATTTTTCAACTGCTTTTTRAAAGGAGTCATTTTTTAATTAGTGAATCCATTCTGGAGAAGTGTTGGAGTTTTACAATGTTGTAGCTGTTCTTGGTGTCTTGCCTAGACTTGGATGTTGTGGCCATAAGAAAATATTATTTATGGCGTTGCAGCTTGCAGCTCTTTTATATTATAATTTGAGAAAGGAAGTTGCTGTTCCCACCAGTGGACAAAAAAAATAGCAGAAACAAGGATTATGGACTTCTGAAGGAGGAAAAGAAATAAAAATCAACAGGCAGAACAGAAACAAACCACCGAGCCAGCCTCAAATCTTCGCACTCCCAAACAAGCTCATCCCAGCATTGCCATCAGTTGTGCTGGATGCTGAAGCCAGACCACTGCCCAACTGGCCAGGCCAGACCMGCAGTGACCACCTCAGCACTGCCCTGCACAGCCTCACATGTGTTCCTAAACATTTGTGGATCAGGCTTTTTATTCATGGACTAATGCACACTTGTTTGCTCATGCCTTACTCAGCCTAAACTCCTATTGAACTCAATTAAGGCTGTCATCTCCAGGAGCACTCAATGTCATTTTTGCCCAAGTAAGGGATGAGTAACGAGGCTCTGAGCAGCCCTTGGAGAATAGCAGCCATTTTGTTGCAGTTTTTGGTCCAGATTTCTTACAAGTTAGCACCAGGCCAAGGGTGGAAGAATGCGATATGGCTTTATGAATCACCCACAATTGCTGAATGCGCTGGATGCTTCAGAGCCTGTCACTTTGCGGACTGAAGCGTTGGCTGTCTTGTCCCAAAACGCTTGAATACAACCAAGCTCATCGTGAAAATTAGAAAAATATGTTTCTAGAAAGAACGGGATGCAAAGAACGTCCCTTCTCCAAGATGGGGCGCCGGGAGGATTCCTCACCCTGGTTTATCTCTGGGGATTTTGGGTATTGTGGCACAGCCCAGKGGCCTGAGGGATGGGGGTTTTGGCCTTTTTGGGGCTGCAGCTCCTGCCAGTCAAGGCTGGGTCATGGCCAGGGATTTGTATGTGATCAGCCTGCTGTGGCTTAGCACGTTACCACCCATCAGCTCACTYAGAGGAAGTGACCATGGCCTGGATCCTGGCTGGATTCCCTTGAGAAATACCAACAGCGGGGACTGAGTCCCATTCTGGGTTCCATGCGGTGGGGGTCTGGGAGAGATGGGGAATCTGCTTACCCTGAGAGATTAGTGGGATGCAGGGGGCTCTATGTGTGTGTGTGTGAGGAGGGGGAGAAGGATGAAGGTTTTTAAAGGGGGATGAAGATATGAGGGTAGAGATGAGGAGGATGAAGATGTGTGGCAGGGCATTACAGTGCGCAGAGCACAATGAAKATGGCACAAGGGGGTGAAGGTGAACACAGGGGCGGGCAAGAATGAAGAGTGGGATGAAGGTGAGTGCAGAGGGCGATGAAGACGTCCAGAAGGAGATGAAGGTGTGCACGGGAGGCCCTGGCTGGCTGGGGACAGGACGGGACAAGACGGGACCGCAGCACTTCCATGCCCCGGCCCAAGGCCACATCCCAGGGCCGCATCCCGGGAACGCCGGACGGAGAAGGAAGAAGAGGACGAAGGTGAGGAAGGCTCATAGAGGGCACTCCCAGAGGCCGGGCCGGGCCGAACCGAACTCCAAGTCCGCCCTTTCCCTAGAAAAAAACCTCTCTGTGGAAAGGAAGCGCCCGCTGCCCCGACGGGGAGGTCGGGAGGGTCGGGCGGGAGGAAGGGCCGGGAAGAGGAGGAGGAGGAGGAGGTGGAGGAGGAGGAGAAGGAGGTTAGGGGAGGAGGAGGAGGAGGCCCGGCCCGGCCCCGCCGCCTCCTGATTGACTCCCAACTTTCCGCTCCTCCCTCGCATAAACTTTCCCGTCCCTGCGCCTGGCTCCGTGCGCGGACCCGGGAGCCCGCCGCGCTCCCCGCATTCCTGCCGCCCGCCCCGGCCCGGCCCGGCCCCGGCCCCGCTCCGGCCCCGGCCCCGCTCCCGGCACCCGCGGCCGGCCCAGCCCCTCCGGAGCACGGAGCAGGTAAGCGCTCGCCGGGAASAGACTCCCAACCCCCCCTTCCTCCGCCTCCTC